GATCTTCCTCCGGGATCAAAACCAATAAGCAACAAATGGGTGTTTAGGAGAAAGTACAATACCGATGGGTCTATACTAACATTCAAAGCTAGATTAGTAGCTAAAGGCTTTAAACAAAAGCGTGGTATAGACTATTTCGATACATATGCTCCGGTAGCTAGATTGACATCCATAAGAGTGCTATTTGCAATTGCATCAATATGCAATTTGTATGTGCATCAAATGGATGTTAAGACGGCTTTTCTAAATGGTGATCTTGATGAGGAAATCTATATGGAGCAACCCGAAGGGTGGTTTGTACTACTTGGAAATGAAAAGAAGGTTTGCAAGTTACTTAAGTCACTTTATGGTTTAAAGCAAGCACCAAAATAATGGCATGAGAAATTTGATAATGTCATTTTATCTCATGGTTTTAAGCATAATAATGCGGATAAATGCATATACTCTAAATTTACAAATAGTTTTGGTGTGATAATATGCTTATACGTTGATGATGCTTATTTTTGGAACAAACATGCAAGGGGTAAATGATACCAAGAAATATCTAACTTCACAATTTAAGATGAAAGATCTTGGTGAAGTAGATACTATCTTAGGTGTAAGAGTGAGGAAGCATAGTGGGGGTTACTCGTTGTGTCAATCTCATTATATTGAGAATGTGCTTCTTAAATTCAATCATTTGAAGTTTAAAGAAGCAAATATCCCATATGATTCTAGTATTAAATTACTAGAGAATGCAAGCAGAGCGGTGGCACAGCTTGAATATGCTAGTGCGATTGGTAGCTTAATGTATACTATGCATTGTACAAGCCCCGACATAGCATTTGCGGTATGCAAAATGTCTAGGTTCACGAGTAACCCGGGTATCAAATATTGGAATGCAATTGGAAGAGTACTTGGTTATCTTAAAAGAACCATTAACTTGGGTTTGTCATATAATGACTATCCGACCGTACTTGAAGGGTACTCGGATGCAAGTTGGATAACAAGTGCAAGTGATAATAAATCTACATCTGGGTGGATTTTTACAATTGCAGGAGGAGCCGTCTCTTGGGCTTCTAAGAAACAAACGTGCATAACTCACTCTACGATGGAGAGTGAGTTTATAGCACTTGCCGCTGCAGGCAAAGAAGCGGAATGGCTAAGAAATCTATTGCTTGATATTGAGTTGTGGCCACAACCGATGCCATCTATTTCTTTGTACTGTGATAGTGAAGCTACTTTGTCTAGAGCTTATAACAAGGTTTATAATGGAAAATCTAGACATATTAGCTTAAGACATGAATATGTTAAACAATTAATAACCGATGGTGTTATTAATATTGTTTATGTTAGGACAAA